CCTCAAGACCCGGCTAGGCCATCAGGCCTGGGGGCCGGAAAGGACTGGTGAGTTGTTGAGGGGCTCCATTGCGGTTAATATCTGCTGCCCTCTCTTTGCCTTTTAATCCGATTTTTTTTTAAATTTTCTGGATTTGTTAATTGTTTTTTATATTACTGTTTTATAGTTTTTATCGTATGCCGGTCAGAGTCACTTTTTGTGAGATGGGCAGCCATATAAATATGATGCATAAATAAATACTTGAATGTAGGCACTGCTTTGGTGAGGTTTATTTATTTATTTTCATTTACTTAATCCAATTTTGAGGCCACTCAATGTTTCTGGGCAGTTTACATATAAAAAGAAAAACAATATATGGATAAAAAAGATCCCGGCCAACGGAAGAACAATACCATCCTTGGGCCTCTGATGTGGGTTCTTGTCTGCTATGAGCATGGCCATTTGTGCAAATACCTTATTTATGTCTTCCATTGTCTGACATGTACATCAGAACAGCCAGTCTCAGCTGGGAACCACAAGCTTTCTTATAGGATGTTTAAGGGTGAGATTTAGGGCTAATCACCTTCAAACATTTGCCTCTTCCTAAGTATGCATCATTTCCTTGCTGATGGAGTTTCCTCTCTTTCTTCAGAGGCTGAGGACCATCCCTTGTTTCGTGCAGCATCAGCTCGAGGCGTGTGGTAAGGCTGTCTGGCGCCCTGTTCTTCCGAGCTATGTCTCCCCAGCCATGTGGTGGGATGGGAATTGCTTTCGGCCATTATTTCCTGATTGCAACTTGTCTGTGGAGCTTGTAGTAACCTTGTATTTTATAGCTTGGGTCTGATTTTCCAAAGAAGAGAAAACCATTTCTACAGAGCCTGTATCCCAGATCTTTGGCAGCAAGCATCCATAGGATGAATTGTAAGAAGTAGCTTGAAACCGCCACTACCTGAAGCTTTTTCAAAATTCTTATGGAATTGGGGATTAGAGTTTGTCCAACAGTGAAAATGATTAGGACCAAGGAAGTATGCTTTTGCTAGTGCAGCGCCTGCTCTCTGGAATAACATGCCCCAAGAGATCTGTGCAGTACGTTTCCCACCCTAATGGCGTTCTGAAAGTCATTGAAAACCTGGCTTTGCTCCCAGGCCTTGGGGTGGGGTGGCTGCTGTGCTGTAGCTCCCGAGAGGCCTTCAAGGGCAGCCCCATGAAGAGGGCATTGCAGTAGTCCATTTACCTTCCCTTAGCCTTCTATCCTGCTTGCAAAATCTGTGACCAGCCTTTTCCTCTCCCTCTGTTTGGTCAAGGAGAGGAAACGCCTCTTGCCTTGCATCTCACTTTTCTCCTGGGACGAAGGAACTGAAGATCTTGGGGGCAGATTGGTGCTCCTTTTCTGCCTACCCCTGTCTCTCATTTATGATGTGGCTCATCCACTTGGATGATATTCAGGAGAGGGTTTCTGTTCTTGAAGTGAAGGAAGCCAGTTTGTGAAAGACTTTGTTTAGGGTGGGGATGAATGGGCTTGCTTGCACGGATCATTCCAGAACACTGATTTGGTCCCTTCCTTTCTTTCCCTCAGCAAAGTCATGTGCTTCCATCCCTGGTCTGACCTGACTCTGCCCCTGATGTCGCTTGCTGAGATCCGCAGGGTCATCGACAAATGGGCAGAGATACTGGTTGAGTTGGGTGCCTCCTACTCCTGGGTGCAGGTGAGTATCTACAAGGACCCCCATGGACCAGTCTCATTCCCCTTCTGCAGATATGTGTGTAATCATGTTCCTTTTGGAACGTGATGGGAGCAGGCAAATGTTTTTTCAATCTACGTGGAATTCTTTCTTCCGAAGGCAGTGTAAGAAGACACCTTCTTTCTGGGTGCAATAATTATCATTTCCCAGGCAGAACGGACAGAGAAGGAAATGTAAGAACCTGTCTTGGAGTGAAACATGGAGTTACATAGCCAACATCTGCTCCTATGTTCTGTCCTTCCATTTCTGCAAGTGCCTCCATTAACTGAGCAGAATGGAGAAAGCGTATGCGCTCTCCAGCAGTGTTTCCAGGGCCCTTGGAAGAATATGAGTCCTTGCCACGATTGTTCTGTTGGTCAAGGAAGCACAGATCCTGCTCTCCTCCATATCTGCGTTTGACTTTAGTTAGAAGAAAAAGAAAGGTACTAAGATGCCATTTTAGTGATCTCTCCTGAAGTGCAAAGGGAGGGTTGAAATGCTTGAGATTTGGATCCCAAAGGCAGGTTTTCCCTCCAAGGGAAATTGAGGCCAGTGCATCTGCTGTTACGCTAATGCTGTGCTAGGTTGAACTTCATCTTTCTTAATTACCAAATCTCCCCTAGCTTCAGCTCAGTCACTCCTCTCTAAACTTGCAGTTCATATGCATCTCGGAACAGAGGCAGCCCGGATTTGCTGTACCTACTGAACCGAACTACTAAATATCTACATCCAACTTATCTGAATGCTACCCAAGTATTACCTGTTTCAGTTTTTAGCACAACTGTCCTCTTCTGTTTCTAAATGGCTGTTTTCTCTTGAGATCAGCATTAAATTCCCTTTCGAAGGTGAAAACAGAGTTCCAAGTTAACTCTTGCAGGGAGCCAGCTGTTACTTGTTGAAAAAATGGGGACATTAATGTTTCTGTGAGGAAAAACGGGGCCTATTAAAATATGGCCCAGCCTTCAGGATTGCAGCTTAAGACAGATGGAGACAAATCGTAAATCCAGTTCAGGAAAGCCAGGTCCTACTCTGTCACCTTGTGGCTGCTGGCCAGGTTGAAAAGTGAATTGTAAGCAGAAGTTGTGCCCCATCTTTTCCTCCCACCTTAACCCAGTTTAAACCCTACATCAGTCTAACCCAGTGTTTCTTAACCTTGGCAACTTTAAGATAAGTGCCCTTCAGCCCCCAGAATTCCCCAGCCGGCATGGGTGGGTTGAAGTCCACATATCTTCAACTTGCTAAGGCTGGGAAACACTGGGCTAGCCACTTATTTGATCAAGTGAGTTGCAGGTCACAGAAGCTGAGGCCTTTGAATCAAATTGGTTAGTTGGAAAAGGGAGTCACCTCCTGATTTTTGTTGGCTAAACTAAAAGGACCCTGTTGGGTTTTTTGTTTCCTTGTTTGTTTCGGTTTACAGATCTTTGAGAATAAGGGAGCCATGATGGGCTGTTCAAACACCCACCCTCATTGTCAGGTAAGGAGATTCTCTCCATGAATTTAGCAACAGAGCTGTTGCCAGTGGCATGATGATGATGATGATGATGACAATGATGATGATGATGATGGAGAAGGAGAAGGAGAAGAAGAAAGTAGAAGTAGTAGTAGTAGTAGTAGTAGTAGTAGTTTCCAGGGGACGTTCCAAGGCTCTTGAGGATTTGCTCCATCCAGCACAGGCTTTCCCCACAAATTATTCTACGTGGCCAATTCCTGGAGCTGGGCTGATGGGCTAGAGTTTAAGATTAAACTTTCCCCAAATGTAGCTTCTTCAGCTCTTTGAAAAATACATTTGGACGCTTGACTGTGGTGTCTTAAAAAGTATTTTTCATTAAAGCCTTCCCCATGTGTGGGTTGCTGAGGCTTGAAGCTAAACTATCCTGAGTTGCAGGGCAGGACATAAATTATTCCAAGGATTATTCACAGGGTTTTGTTAAATTCCATATCTTTGGGGTTTTGATTGAGATGCTTTGATCAAGAAACTTCAAAGGATCGCCTTTTTCATTTTTCTTTTTGAAGCCTGACAGGTGAGGTCACTGGCGGTACCGCTTAGAATCTCTTCGTGAAATTGGAGGTTGCGCAGGCAAGGATTAGTTTCTGATAGTGTCTGTTCCTTGCAAGGTGGAGAAAGAGAATTTTTGTAGAGACGTTTTCTGTTAAAGAAATCGCCTTTTGGTATTGTAAATGGCATTTACGCAGGAGCATTAAAATGTAAAGTCCCCTTTGAGTTGAGCCCACTTGCTGGTGACTTCCTATTGTAGGCTAAATCTTGCAACAGGCTATAACTCCACCCGCCCCCCAGTAGTCATCTTGTATGTCCAAAAGTGCATCTGTGGTGAATTATTTCCCTTCATAAAAAATAGGAGTATTGTTTGGTTTTTCTGAGATGACAGAAGGCTCGGGCAGCCCTGAATGCGTCTTATTGCTCTCTTGTTTCCATATGTGGTGGGCTGAGACAAGGATGAACCAAAGTGCAGTGGCTGCTCTGGGGGCAAAGTTTGTTGGCCAGCACTGCCTGGCTGTTGATGTCTTTCTACAATGTTGTGGGCACTTAGGTCTGGCTCCTGTGGACCACTCCCTTCCCTCTCCCCTGGCAGAGAGCAGAAGGCAGGGGCCGGGGGTCCTGGAGCCGCCCCACCTGCTTTTTCTTGTTGACTTTGGTTGTAGGGGGAAGGCAAGGGATGGGGGAAGGATGTGGGTGTGAAATACATTCCACCCTCTCTCAGCGGGAGTATTGACTGTAGCAGACCATGATCATCGTTCCTCCCTTTCAGCCTGAGAAAACACAGTCCTAGGGAGACCAGCAAGCGATCTTGCCTGATGGGCGTCCTCTGAGCCTAACTGCCCTTCCTCTCTTTGTCCATTGCACTTTCAGCGATCACATACTTTATATGATGTGGCTTGCGGACATTCGTAGGCCTTATGGAGAGCGTGCTCTTTGGGGTTGGTGTTCCTTCCAGGGCCAGAGGGTGGCAGCATGCACCCGCGAATCGCCTGCTCTTAGCGAGCGGGCGCAAGTGTGATCCTTCCTAACCCAGGCTGGGTGTGGGTGGGTGGGTGGAAATGGGCAACTCACATGGCGTCCTGACTCCCTTTTCCCTCTTTATAGATCTGGGCTAGTGACTTCCTGCCCAACGAAGCCTCGCTGGAGGACCAGGCGCAGCGGAAATACTACCAAGAGCACTCGGTCCCCATGCTGCTGGAATATGCTCAGCTGGAGGCCGAGCGGAAGGTGATGACCGCCCGTGGGGGATGTGGGGTCGATCTCCCTCGTTGGATGCCAGCTCTGAGGCTAATCTGGGTGTGGCTTGCAGGAGCGGGTTGTGGTGGAGAATGCCGACTGGGTGGTGGTGGTCCCCTACTGGGCAGTGTGGCCCTTCCAGACCCTCTTGCTTCCTCGTCGACACGTCTGCCGCCTTCAGGACCTTCAGGAGAGCGAGAGAGACAGTAAGTGTCCAGCTTGTGGCCAATGGAGGGAAGAGGGCATTAGGCTAGCCATGTGGGCCAGGTGTCCGCTTGGACCGTGCAGATGGGAGCGGGAACCGAAGCTGAGGGGAAAGAACGTGGGAGTCCAGGCTGCCTTTCTCTCTGGAAACTGGCCAGCTGGGAGACAGCAGAGGCCAGAGGAGAAAGGGTCCTGCTCCTTTCCAGTTCAGCATTTGCAGATGCTTGGAACGGAAGGAACACCAATGGGGTTTTCAGAAATGGGCAAGGTAGACTCCGTGCTGGGGGAGGGCTCTGGGCTGGGGCTGGGGTCTGGGACGGCTTGACAGGTGCAAGAGGCCAGCTGACTCCTTTGAGCCCCCTTTGTTGCAGGCCTGGCATCCATCACGAAGAGGCTTCTCACCCGATACGACAATCTCTTCCAGGTTTCCTTCCCTTACTCTATGGGTTGGCATGGTGAGCACCGGGGAGAGGAATTGGAGCCCTCTCCCTCCCAGCCTGATCTCCCAGATAGAAGAGCATCTCTGCAGCTCACGGTTGAACTGTGGAGTCCTTAGAGGTCTCTGAGCTTGGTGGTTTTCTTGCAGACGTTTCATTACCCAAGTGGGTCACATCATCGTGCTAGTGAGTGTGGGTTTGCTCCCTGTTTATAAGCAGTGGCTTGCCCTGCCAGTGTTGGGGGCGATGTGGTTTCCTCCTTGGTAGTTCCTTGATTAGGGTATTGTTTTCTGCTTGCTTGTTTGTCTAGTGTTAATCCCTGTTTATCTGGATGTAGCTTGTAGGGTGTAGGTTTATCTGGGTGTAGCCTCCGGGGTATAAGGTGTAGGCCAGAGTGTAGGGTGTAGGCTTATCTGGGTGTACACCCAGATAAGCCGGGATTTACACCAGGCAAACAAACAAGCAGAAAACAATACCCTAATCAAGGAACTACCACGGAGAAAACCACTCCCCCACCCACACTGGCAGGGCAAGCTACTGTATGTAAACAGGAAGCAAACCCCACACTCGCTCGCACTGATGATGCTCCCTAGTCCGGCAATGAAACGTCTGCAAGCAAACCACCAAGCTCAGAGAGTACCAAGGGCTCCACTGATCTCATGGAGGGGGAACCTAGACTCTGGGGTAGATGCAGAGTGCAGCCCCCTTGGGAAGAGACTTTCCCGGGATTGGAAGGGTTTAACATGCTCTTCAGCTGGAACTTCCCAGAAGGCCAGATGAGACCAACCGTCCGTCTCATCTACCAGCCTTCCACTTGGGGAAGCCGAGGAGTGGGGAGCCCCTCCGCTTCCGAGTGGGAGAGAGTGGTGACTTGCGTCATCTCCCCTTGGAGGCATCTCACAGACGTTGGGTTTCTCCAGCGAGGAGGCTTTTGGATTCCTTTTTCTCCTTGGCCAGCTCCTTCCTTTCTGCCCCCAGTGAGGCCCAAAGCAAATCCTCGTTTGGCTGTAACCCAACGAACTGCGCGCCTCCCCGTGTAAGATTTGATTTTCTGTTCCGCGGCATCTGGTCTCTTTGCCTCCTCCTCCTAACAGGAGCTCCGACGGGGCCGTACCTGGAGGCTGACTGCAGGCACTGGCAGCTCCACGCCCATTACTACCCCCCGCTGCTGCGTTCTGCCACCATCCGTAAATTCATGGTTGGCTATGAATTGCTGGCTCAGGCCCAGAGGGACTTAACGCCAGAGCAGGTGAGTGGGAGCTCTGGGCCGTGATTCCCGGACGGGGCCGTCTCCGCTCTGCACCCCGCCTGAATTTCAAAGAAGAGCATCTCTGAAACTCAGAATCAGCTGAGCTGATCAGTGGGAAGAGGCAGGGAGAGCTGGCGGTGGGGATGGTGCGAGGAGGGAGGAGGGCCATCTGGTTCTTTTGGGCCCGTGTGCCCTTCTGGGTTGCGGCTACCAGCCTTCAAATATGGTGGCTGAACACTGGTCCTGTTGTCATAGAGTTCAGAAGCAAGTGCAGAGTGGGCTCTAAGGGGAATAGATAGAAAGGTCTGCAGGAGCAGTGAAAGAGCCAGGAGAGGAAAGGGGAATGTGCTGGTTTCTGAAGTACCCTGAGCCTTGGCTCCCTTTTTCGGGGGCAACATTCAGGAAGGACCCCCTGGAGCCTGGAAAGGAGGGGGGTGCCTGCTCTCCCCCCTTCTGTTCTTCTGCCTTGCCCTCCATGCGGCTCCTCTCTTCACAGGCTGCGGAACGCCTGAGGAGCCTTCCTGAGCACCACTACAGGCTGAACCCGAAGGCAGCACCCTAGGGCAGGGCGTGGCTCTAGTCCCCCTAGGTTTGGGGCAGTCAGCCGATCCCTGGCTGCTGCCTGGCCCCATGGAGGCTGCGATGCTGGTGAGCATTTGAGCAGGCAGCCCTTCGCTTCTCACAAGGGCTCTGCAGAACCTCTGGCTCTGTTTCCTGTGTGCCCACATGAGGCGAGGCCGATCCTTTGAGAAAAGGGAAGTGGGGGACGTCCTCTCCCCATCTCCAACTCTGTACTACTACTAACACAGACGTTAAGAGAATCATGTGGTTCCCCATTGATTTTGCTTGCTGGAAGCTGGCTGGGAGGGTCGCAAATGGTGATCACGTGACCCCTAGGATGCTGCAACTGTCGTAAGCGTGAGCTGGTTGCCAAGCGCCCGGATCGCAATCGTGACTATGGAGGTGCTGTGATGGTTGTAAGTTTGAGGATCAGTTGTAAGCCCCTTTGATCAGCACCATTGTAACTTCGATTGGTCACTAAATGAATGGTTAAGTGAGGACTACCTGTACGTGGACTTCAATATCCAGAATTCCCCAGCCAGCCAAGCTGGATGGGGAATTCTGGGAGTTAAAGTCCACATAGCTAAGGTTGAGAAACACTGTTCTATAGCCTCTCCCCCCATTCCCACCTCAACAAGGACCACCTCAGTTCATGACTGTGAGTCAGATTAGGTCTTCAGCTGGGCTTCCTTTCAAGGGACTCTGTGTTCTGTCCTCCTCGAGTCTCTTGTCTTCCAGAGCCTAAAAGAGGACAGAGGATAAGCAAGATTCCTCAGGGAGAAACCTGCAGCATTTTGGTACTTGATGCTGTTCCTTAAAAAATCAAGTCTCCTCCATCTCCAGATTTTCCCAGTTAAAGCCACCACCACCACCTCGCTTGCTTGTCCTTCTGTTCCATTGGTTCGGCTCCATGGATACAGTGGTGGAGGACGTGGGGCTACTCCCCCATTTGCAAATGGGCTTTGCTAGTGCTCTGTGTGCAACCGTGCCTCCCTGTTGAGATGGCGAAGCAAGGGAGCAGGCACCGCTGGCCATTTCCTATTTTCACCAACACGCTTTTGCGAAGCTGGTGTTTCCTCCCACCGGCAGGCTTGATGCGAAAATCATCTTCTGCCCCGCTCAGAGTTCAGCCCAGCCAACAGCTCCGTGCTCACCCAGGAGCAGCTGAAGTAAATAACATATTTCATATTTGAAAAGGGAATCTCAGTAAGCATTTTTTTTTCTGGAGTAATAAATGCTTTGATTTGTTTTTAGTTGTGATGTTTTATTCATTTTGAAACTTCAGATAAAATTATTGGAAGAGGCAAGCTTGAGAATGAAATGGTCCATTATCAAAAAAAAAAGGGGGGAAGTTAAAAGGGCTGAGAAATGCTGTGGGATAACCTGACTTTGCCAACTTTCTCTCGGCTAATAAAGGGCCAGTTTTGCCTTAAGAGGTTGCTCAGGGTTGTTCGTTTATCTGTCTAAAGCAGCATTTCTCAACCTTGGGAACTTGAAGATGCTGGCTGGGGAATTCTGGGAATTGAAGTCCACACATCTTCAAGTTCCCAAGGTTGAGAAATGCTGGTCAAAAGCCAGTGGGGCTGTAGGGGTCCTACGGAATGTACATAACAAAAACAGGATACAGTGTCAGAATAAAAATAATTAAAATTGTGACTAAAATAAAAGGCTAAAAATGAGAGAATTGTACTGTAGAAAGTGGCGCTGCCGTTAAGAGCCTGTTTTCAGAAGGCCACCTGCACTTGGGGGACAAGCTATTCCAGGTAGGAAGGAACTCTGAAACGAATATCATTTTTGCCTTTTGTGGCTGATCACAACATTCTGCAACCCTGTCTTCCAGGGCTGTGAAGAAGGGAGGATCTGGGGGGGCCGGGGGGGCCTGTACTGTCTAGCCCGGTCACAACGGCTGAGCTTGTCACAAACTCAGCTCAGCCCTCCTGTCAGGAGCGTGAGATAGAGTTATCCGTGCCATCTTGCACCCCAAGGAGGAAAAGGGGGGGGTTAATTCTAAGAAGCAATTGTACCAAGCTCTGTTGCATGCCCCTGCACATGAGAAATGGCTCTCAACCTGTCAAGGATTGAAAGATCGTTTGCATCGTTTGCATGTTTGCAAGCAATGATTAGAAAGTCAAATTGGCGGAAGATTGATTTTATACGCGGTAACTGCAGCAAGATGATTATAGTCACAGCGATGGAGAAATACTGAAATACCCACAGCGGAAGAACGGATCGTAAAGATGGCAGAATTAGCAGAAATGGAAAAGCTGACCTATCTGGTCAGGGATGAAACAACAAGTACTTTTATAAAAGACTGGAAACCTTTTATGGACTTTTTGCTGAAAATGGCAAAAAAGTGAAACGGTGATTTCTGGATTTGCTGATTGAAAAGGGCTGAATATGGGAAGAAGGGATCTCTAATGTAATTTGAAAGAGGGAGGAGGGATAATAAATTTGTAACTGCCGCAAGGAAGATCAGAAGTCGCTTCTTTAATTATCTTTTAGCTTTCTTTTTTCCTTATTGCTTGCTTTCTCCTTTTTCTAAATGTTCTTTATACAGTGCATTTGGAAAGTATTCAGACCCCCTTCACCTCTTTCAATTTTGTTATGTTGCAGCCTGATACTACAATAGTTCAAATTTATTTTTTTTCTCATTAATCTACACTCAGTACCCCATAATGACAAAGTGAAAACAGAATTT